GGTCCAGAGAAATTCTCTGGTTTAGATTGAAATTTCTCTGAATTGATTTGAGAGAACTTAGACATTCTCTCCTTGACATTTTATCAAACACCTTGCTGAATCCATATCCCCAGCTCCCGAATTCATCTTTTTATGTGGATTTCTTAATTAAATGTTGTATGAAGATTTTAAGATTTAGTTTATTGAGATCAACAATAAAGACAATGAAGAAGAAACAAGAAAAAAGTAAGAGAAGTAATGATGAATAAAGCACTATCAGGAACAACAATGAGGACTAGTGCTCTGCTTCATATAAATTTTGTTGTATAAAGCACTATCAGGAATTTTCATATAAATCAACGATCTCCATCGGCAAAGTTTTATAAATTTTGCTAGTGTGAATTCCTCCGTCGTAGTCAATGCCAATGAAGCTTTGAACAATATTGCAGACAAAGACGAGAGAGAGAGAGAGAGAGAGAGAGAGAGAGGAGTTGTTTGGTGCAAGAAAAGAGATGAGAGAGAATGAAAGAGTGGGTGTTATATATGGGCATGGGTGAGGGACCTTAGATTACAAAAATATTTATTGTGGACCTCTCTCATTACTGGGCTGTTTGGAATGATCTAAATAAGTGTACTTTTTGTCTTTTTACGAAAAGATGTACAGAAAAGTAGAGAGGTGATGTGATGAAAAAAAAGATAAAAAGATAAAAAGATGGATTATTTGAGGTATGCCAAACTTGACCTAAAAATTGGAGAGAAATGTTAGACCAATTTTCTCAAAACTAATTCCAGTATAATAAATTACAAGTTAGAATTGTATCTCACATCACATGTTTTATTTGTAAGGTTTTGTCTTTCCAAGATGTGGATGTTGCCTTGAAACTAGCTAAACTTTTGAGTGATTAATGGCATGAGATTTTTTGTTCTTAAAATTATATTTATAATTTTTAATATAATTATAATTGTATATTTATGTTTTGAGATTTTTATCATTTTTTTTTCTTTTCGGTGAAAAAGAGAAATTTTGTAAGACTTTATCATATTAGGAACCAAGGAGATAAAAATTTTAAAACCAAAATATCCCTAAACGTAGCTAGATCTACTCACTCACCTTCGAGGATGAGAAGTTATTTGATAGGCATAACCTATCACTCGGATGTGTAAGACCACATAATCATTTTATCTCAAATTTAGAAGTAAAAAGTGAGTAAAAGTAATTATATAATCCTATATATAATTACAAAAGGCACACCATATACAATATAAGTTGGATTTACTAAATAAATTTTCACATAAATCCCTCCCACCAACACACAAAGAGAAGGGATTTGACCTATTTGGTACAACTTATTATAAGATAAAAATTGATAATCAAAAATTAAAAATCAAAAGCACATCTCCTTCAAGTTGTAGATGACTATTTTTATAAAAAAAAAATAAAAATTATTTAAGCTATTTCTATCTAATAAGAGAAGTTGTACTAAATATGCTAATATAAACCCTAAAAATAAAATAAAAAATTATAAAAATTCAAATAAACTGTAGCAGATAATCCCATTATCTATCTAAAACTGAAGCTACATTTTAAGCTCGTGACATCGGAAGGTACCTTCTCCCATGCAAATATACCCTTAGTTGTCAAAACAACTGTAAACAATTGCTTCAGATCACCACCCAACCAGATCACACTAGAATTTTTTTTATTTTTTTTATTTTCCTTCTTGGAAATCTTCATTACTTTATAAATACCACGGAATTTTACAATACCCTAACCAGATAAACCCAAGCTAGCTTAGAATCACTCCCCATTCTTTTTCTAAATTCTATATTTACCCCTATGGCAAGAATACAAAAAGACATATGATCCCATGTGCACTTCTGTCATTCAGTCCTCTACAAAATTTCACTCTGACTTCCCTGCTACTTATCAGACCTTGCCATGCTAGTTGTTATTACTAATCAGACCATCAAACTCAACAACCCTAAATAAGACAAGCCCTAACCAATCTAGTTTAAATCCACTAACACAGAGCTAGAGATCATCTGTCTATTTTTTTTTTTTTTTTTTTTTGTCCTGATGCATTTGTAGCCACTTGATCATATCTTGAGATTTTGAATTTTGAAATTGTCACATCAAATAATTATGAGTGCAATGGGTAATACATAAAAATATTGGAACATAAGATCCCTAACCCTTACACAAGGAAATTATTAGATTTTTTGAAATATCATGTGACATTGGTTACGTTATATCCCTAGTAAATAAGAAGTCACAATAATACCAAGGCTGTATTTAGATTTAGAATTTGAGGAAGAAAAAGGAAAAGAAAAGAAAAATATGACAAATTTAACCTATAATTCATTCATTTTTCCTTACTTAATTCTTTTTCTTACGCTTCCTCTTTAAAACTTCAATCCATACACAACCTAAGTGAATCATTTTTCACCTCCCAACTACCTAATAAAAGTGAGTCAACATATCTCACCCATATGATTTTTCGCTACGTGATTAGTTTAAAGGAGAGGTGGCAAACTCAATCCAAACCCATGAACCCGCCCATTACCTATTTAAAACCCATATTAACCCACCCAAGCCAATAAATAGGCTTAAATGAGTTGCTCATTGTTAATCCAATTAAAATTGGGTTTACATACGTTGGACATGAGTACCCATTTGAGTCCATCTAAATGGAAACCACTTCAACCACTACTTCTAAAAAAATTTAAACAAATTTAAAAAAAAAAAAATTAGAAAAAAATAAAAAAAAATAAACTTTTTTAGAAAAAAAAAAAATTTAAAAGCGTTACAACTTTTTTTTCGAAAAAAAAAAAAGAGAGTGAAAAAAGATATGAAGTAAATGAGTTGATTGTGTTCTTTTGTCTAACTTGTATCAAATTCAACCAAATCCATTTAAACTCATTTATTAAATGGGCGGGCTTGGGTTGGATTGTTTTAAATATACACCCGTTTTGACCTTTCCATACCCGCCCATTTACCACCTCTAATTTAAAGCACTAAATAAATAATGGGCATTGATTTAGACCCCCTTAAAATACCCACCTCCACAACCCCCGCACACACATGGAGGTTAGGGATTGGGTGAGAAGAAAAAAAAAAAAAAAAAAAGAGAAAAGTTGACCAATCAAAACTAAAGGGGGTGATCCCCAAAGGGGATCTCAACCTTTATTCATAAATAATATGCCATAATAATACTCTAAAACTACTGAATAATTACCCTCTTACACAGATGGAGAACTTTGACAAAACCAAAGTAAACATTTCACTATCATGTAATGAAACCTATTTTGCACTACTCTACCTTTCACTTTCACAAGCATTGTAGGGTACAAATACCCACATTGAAATTGCCCTCAAATCATTACGACAATCTTCAATTCATTGCCTTTATAGGTAAATTTTTGTATGGGCATGAGTTAACTCCCTATCGTTAACTGCTCCTTCTCAGCTTCTCTGCAAGCCCATTTAAGTCCAAGGCAATGTTCTATCAACTTTCCTTGAAAAGAAAAGAGGTGAAAATAGATTCCAGAATGATTGCCTTGTATCTTGCAAGATTTCAAGCAATTCAAATTTGCCACCACAAGGAAGTAGATGATATCCTTAGATTAGGTTAAGTTAGGGTTAGGGTTTTGAAACTTTGAAGGGTTTTATTCTTTATTCTTCACTTTTCATTCTTTATTCTTCCATGTTGAGATATTTTATAAATAATTTTTTGATACAGAACAAGAAACAAAAGAGGCGTAGTTAGCGCTTATGAGTCGTGATGCAATTATATTCTCTTTGTGATTAAATAAGTGTATTGTGTTTGATACTTTAATGGGTTGATTCCATTGAATTGGTGGCATTTTTGGAGGGATTGAGAAGTGTAGAGGAAAAGTGAGCAAATAGAAACAAATATGTGGATTTATGTGGAGATACTGTAAGTCTGTAACTGATACAGATCTCTGATGATGATGAGAATAATACAAAAGAAAAGGGAGTCCATGTTGTGATGTATCTGACTTATGTGTCCTTGAAAACATAACTGTCTTTGAGTTTTTGGTGGGTTAGTTGTTTTCTAATAGAATGTCAGTGAGGTACTGAATAGGAAAAGTGTTCACCATTTTCCATGTAGTTTTAGTCAGTTTCTTCATTATTAAATCCTAAAAATACGTACTAATCGCATATCCTTAACCTTAAGAACTTCAATATGGTCTCTCTCTCTCTCTCTCTCTCTCTCTCTCTCTCTCTCTCTCTCTCTCTCATGGGTAAATATTATGTAGTCCTGGATATCATTTGGCATTTTTCATGAATGAGATAATACTGACCCATTTGATGGATGCTCCCATGCATACACACACGGACTCCATCTTTCATAAAAATGATCCGGACATGCACTCATCTATTAACGTATGGAGGTAAACGACGCCAAACATCTTCTATCCCCAAATCTCTGTGCTCCTCTTGTCCCAAATCATTTACAACCATTGATAATGTGAAATTCTCAATGTACAACAATCTTCAAACATATCCAATGGTTGTTAGTTATTTGTTAAAAGAAAAGTTATAGGCAGATGATTTCTGGCCTAAAAATGAAGGATAGTATATTGAAGTTTAGCAAAGATTTTAAAAGATTGTATGGAAAAAAAATTTCTCCCTTTATGAAGCATAGTGATTGAAGTTTAAAACATGCATGGTTTCTAGCCTAACTTAATTTTCAACGTGATCTTTGTGTGAATGTGTGTTAACCTAAATCCTAGAAGAACAATCACCTCCTCTTCTCTAATATTCTCAAGCCCTAATCCAAACCTTAAGTTATATTACTTCTTTATTCAGTAAATCATCTCTTACTTTAGCAAAATTGGCAATAGGATTACAAGAAGATAAATACAATATATTGTTCTGCAGGCATATAAAATATCAATCTAAATCTTAGTTTTCCCAGGCCAAAATGTCTAGTTAATACCGATTGATTAGATTGATATTAACATCAAGCAAATTTCAAATCGCAGACGAATTCTAGTTTGTAAAAGACAAATAAATATTTCAAGATTTCTGTGAATACCATATGGTTATTGTTACAACCTACAAATTCACAAGTACTCTCAGAGAGAGGCAAAGTCATCACGCTCAAAGCCAAGCCAAAGCCTTGGCTTTTAGATCAAAGGGTAAGAAGAGAGAAGAGAAAAGAGAAGAAAATCAAACAAGAGAATTGCACAAAAGAACAAGTTGGTATGTTCATCTATGAATATAAGCATTAAGCACACAAGTTTGCTAGCAGGTCTACTTCACCTCAGGCCGATCACCAAGTCTTAGCTCAAGATCTATGTCTTCTATTGAGCTAGATGAGCTAAGTACTTCTGATTTAAGATGTTGTGTATCAGTTGAATTTGATTTCAAGAAGGATGGTAATCGTGTCGGATCAATTCTCTGCCTCTTGCAACTCACAGCCTCCTCCTCCTTGCTTTCAGATGAGCTAGAGCGAGTTCGACGAACAATCAAATTCAAGCTTACAGACAAATCTGATGTGAAATAAGCCTCCTTGCTCCTATTCCTCTCTTCATTATTCGGATCCGAGACATCAAAATACCGGTCAGCAACCAAGTTTGACCATGATGGAGGGGCAAAAATAGAAGACTTCTTATGATGATCTCCAAGAATTGGAGAAGAGAAAAGAGGGAGAAAGGTCTTTTCATTAGGGTTCTCTTGTGCAAGTGGAGGTGATGCAAAAACAACATGATCAGAATTAGGGTTAGGGTTATAAACCACTGTACAAATCTGAGAAGGGTATTGAACATCCAAGGATGTACAAGGATTCAGAATATGGTTGTGATGATTTTGATGGTGGTGCTGATGAAGATTTTCATTAAGTGGACTTGGAGATTGCTTTAGCCTAGCTCTATCCCTCCGGTGCACATTCATGTGACCGCCTAAAGCTTGAGCTGATTTGAATTCTCTTCTACAAAAGCTGCAAGTATAAGATCTTGGAGGCCATATACATCCTCCGAGAGGTCCGGCTGCATCTTCTGCAAAAGCTTGTTCTTCCCATGAATCACCGCATGCTTGAAGATGAGAGCTCAAGCTATGTTTTGGCTTCGACAGCATCCAATACCGAGCTTGTTCCATTGCACTATACAAGCTTAGATTAACTCTAATGAGATGTGATTGTATATGGCAAGATTTAGAAGTGAAGAATGAAAGCAACAAGGGAAACAGTGAAGAAAAGAGGGCTTTAGATGTACTGTATAGTTTGGATGTTTCAGTGTATAGTTTGGAAGGTGAAGGTGAACTGGTGGGTACTGTATAGTTTGGATGTTGAGGAAGGTGAACTGGTGGGTACTGTATAGTTTGGATGTTTCAGTGTAACAACTAGCTACTTTCTTTGGTTTTTAGTTTGCCTTCAACACATGGTCATTGTAATGGGTATTTTCCAATAATATTTTTTTCCCTCCTTCAATTTCTTTCCAAGGAGGAAACAATGGTTTAGAAAATCATTGGTGTGGGCCGTAAAAGAAAATATAACAACCAGAAATTTTAGTCCGAAATTTATATAGGAAAGCGAGTATATGGTGTAAATTCAAATTTCATGAGTTTTTTTTTTTTTTTTTTTTTTTTTTTATCAGCAAAGAAAATCTTTATTGATGAAGAAGACATACATTACTGTGGGGATATATTTTCTGAATCCCAACACGTGGCCAAGGTGACGCTGACGTGTCAGCCGAGGTGCCACGTGTCCAGGTCATGACGCCGAGGTAATCTCAGCAAGGCCGAGATTATCTCCGAAGATATCAGAATCCGAGATAAGCAGATAAGGGGCGAGAGTCCTAGAATAAGAAGGACTTTAGCATGAATAAAGATAACACTCTTAGGAAGTTTATCTTCATCTTTTGGAGAGTCCAGGATAAGCACCGAGCAAGAGTCCATTGAAACTAGGCTTCTAGTGGGACAAAGATTGAGTTAACTATAAAAGGAGACACCCCCGATAGGTCTAAAGTACGCAATTTATATTCTGAACAGTGAGTTTAGAACTATTGATTATCTTTGAGAGATATACTGACCTGATCGTCGGAGTGCCCCCAGGTGGAAGAACCACCGCCGGAATCTTCTCTTTCTGTTGCAGGTCAGCCAGGTGTCACCTATTCTGCCAGTGCTCTCCAACTGAATACTGAGTTGGACAGTGTGACTAGAAAATCACTCACACAATTACACATGAGTTATGAATTATATCTATAATGAATCTAATTCACACAATTTAAATTCACGACAATTTTTTAAGTTTTATCTATGGATCTGTAATATTGTTCGGTCTTAATGATTTTGTCATCTACGGGCAAAATTATTACATGTTTCCAAAATTTTGTCTTCACAATAATTTTCATGAGTTATAAATTATATTTGTAAAGAATCTGATTCACACAATTTAAATTCATGATAATTTTCTAAGTTTTATCTATGGATATGTAATATTGTTCATTCCTAATGATTTTGTCTTCTACGAGGAAAATTATTACATGATTCCAAAATATTTTGTTACATTAATTGTTTACATAATACTATTAATAAATGAAAAATCACAATACACACAAAGTGAGTTATTTTTTATCTTCTAACTATTTAATAAAAGTCAATCACAAGTCCCACTTCTAAATTTTTGTGTTCTATAATTTATTTGAAGTGTAGTGCATATTTTTTTTTTTTGATCAACAACAAAGATCCCTTTATTGATGATGGAAACCTTACAAGAAGGAAGAAACATCAACATAAGAGAAGAAAAAAGCAAGCCATCACATGGCATCACCAAATCAAAACCCTGTTGGTGAGGAACCAACGGAGGTAACCACTCACAGAACCATACACACAGCAGAAATCACAGCATCAGATTAGCCTCCAGGGAGTGACAGATTAGCACACCCCTCTGTTACAGAGATAGCCACTACAGAAGCATACACACAGCAGAATTTCCAGCAGCAGCAGCATTCATCAGATTAACACACAGCAGTATACCTACAGCAGCTCCATCAGATTATATCAGACCATACACCCCAAAGCCAGTCCAGAATCCAAAACTCAGCAGGCTATAAGCTGAATAGAAACCATGGCCTTCCTCAAATGTATTCCTTAACCTGAGCCAAATTGGTGGTTAGGTCCAAGACAGAGTACCTGATCTTTTTTACCGCAGCTTTAACCCATAAAGCAAATCTAATCTTTATCAGCTCACCTAACTCAAATACACTTGGTTGCACTCCACAGAACAAACATTCATTCCTTAGCTACCAGATGGACCAAAGTATAATACATGGCAAGGCTCTCCATAATCTCCTAGCTAATCTCTTATACTTCCATCCTATCCACCAATGAAACAATCCATCAATATTCCTTGGCACCACCCATATACACCCCCACCACATCATTACATCAGACCATACCTGCCAAGAGAATGGACAGTGAAGTAAAACATGCACAGCAGATTCATTCTCCACTTTGCAAAAAACACATAGCACAGGAACCTCATTGTTCAGCACACCTACATGTTTTAAGAAGACCCCTGTTTTCACTCTATTCCTCCAGGCTAACCACCCAAAAAATTGAACTTTGGGAGGGAATGTCATTATTCCACACAATTTTTTTTTTCTTTTTATCAGCTAAGAAAATCTTTATTGATGAAGAAGACATACATTACTGTGGGGATATATTTTCTGAATCCCAACACGTGGCCAAGGTGACGCTGACGTGTCAGCCGAGGTGCCACGTGTCCAGGTCATGACGCCGAGGTAATCTCAGCAAGGCCGAGATTATCTCCGAAGATATCAGAATCCGAGATAAGCAGATAAGGGGCGAGAGTCCTAGAATAAGAAGGACTTTAGCATGAATAAAGATAACACTCTTAGGAAGTTTATCTTCATCTTTTGGAGAGTCCAGGATAAGCACCGAGCAAGAGTCCATTGAAGCTAGGCTTCTAGTGGGACAAAGATTGAGTTAACTATAAAAGGATGGGTCTAAAGTACGCAATTTATATTCTGAACAGTGAGTTTAGAACTATTGATTATCTTTGAGAGATATACTGACCTGATCGTCGGAGTGCCCCCAGGTGGAAGAACCACCGCCGGAATCTTCTCTTTCTGTTGCAGGTCAGCCAGGTGTCATCTATTCTGCCAGTGCTCTCCAACTGAATACTGAGTTGGGCAGTGTGACTAGAAAATCACTCACACAATTACACATGAGTTATGAATTATATCTATAATGAATCTGATTCACACAATTTAAATTCACGATAATTTTTTAAGTTTTATCTATGGATATGTAATATTGTTCGGTCTTAATGATTTTGTCTTCTACGGGCAAAATTATTACATGTTTCCAAAATTTTGTCTTCACAATAATTTTCATGAGTTATAAATTATATTTATAAAGAATCTGATTCACACAATTTAAATTCATGATAATTTTCTAAGTTTTATCTATGGATATGTAATATTGTTCATTCCTAATGATTTTGTCTTCTACGAGGAAAATTATTACATGATTCCAAAATATTTTGTTACATTAATTGTTTACATAATACTATTAATAAATGAAAAATCACAATACACACAGAGTGAGTTATTTTTTATCTTCTAACTATTTAATAAAAGTCAATCACAAGTCCCACTTCTAAATTTTTGTGTTCTGTAATTTATTTGAAGTGCAGTGCATATAATGTCACATTATATTCAAAAGAATAATGCTTGAGACCCCCTTTTGGGGGTCACCCCCTCACCCCCTTTTGCCACGTGGCAGGGGGTGATTGGTGGAGCAGGAAAAAAAAGAAAAAGAAAAAGAAAAGGTAACCAATGAGAGAGAGAGGGGGTCAAAGGGGTGGGGGAAAAGGGGAGATGAATCATTACTCTATTCAAAATTATTGAATAATTACCCTTTGTGAGGATGCATACATAAAACTACGCTAATGTTGCTTACCTGAATTAATGCCCTGTTTGGTTTTTATTATAAAGAAGTTATTTTTTTGACTATTTGGCAAGTGCTTCAAAAATAAATAATTAAATAATAATAAAAAATTAGTACATTTAACTTCTTTTTTTAGTTTCTCTATTTTCAGGTCTTATCATACAAGGAACTAAGAAGTAGAGGAAAAAAATTCACAAAATTTCAAAAAAAAAAAAAAATGTAAATTGAACCCCACTTCAACTTTGCCAATAAAAGAAAAAAAATCTTTTAGTATTTTTCAATCACATCAATTTCTTAGAAATAGCTTTATCCTTAAAAAAAATTTAAACAAACAAATTTTTTATAAGACTCACATTTTGCACCGGTTCTTCCCCCACTACAAATTTTACTTCGCCGTCATTTTATGTTTTCAATCGGGTTGCTAGTCCTTAATTACAATGTTGTTGTTGTTTAATTTAATTTAATTTTTTTTTAACCGATAAAAAAAATATTGTTGTTGTTTCTGGTTCGAGAACATTTAAAAAATATTTATTTGTGTTTTCAGCTTTTCAGAGGAAAAAAAAAAAAGAAAAAAAAATGATGAACTTGTACAGATAACAAAAATGTCTAAGATCCTCTTTTTTTCCCACCCCCTTTGACTCCCTCTCTCTCTCATTGGTTGGATTTTCTTTTTCTTTTTTTGTGTTTCCTTTGTCCTCCAATCACCATCTGCTACATGTGTGTGGAGGGTGGTGGGGGTGGTGATTGGAGGGGTCTCCATCACTCCTCCTCCTTAAATTTTCAAATATGGGCCCAATATACTTTAATGGATCATTAAGAAAAGCATCCTTTCCAAAACCTTGGTGTTTAGGGGGGGATTTTAATGAAATTAAAGCTATTGGAGAAAGGAAAGGCTGTGTGAGAAAAGATAGGGGGATGCAGGAGTTCAATGAATTTTTAAATAATATTGAATTGGTTGATGTTCCTATGCTTGGTAGGAAATATACATGGAGTTTTAATTTGAACGAAATTTTAATGGGTTTAGTTTCTCTCAAATTGGTCATCTTAATTTGAGATAGCGTTTGAATTTTGTAAACCTATTTTTGGACTAATTTCGGTGATCCAAATTGTTCATTTTTAAAAATTTGTTGAGTACAATGTTCATGCAAAAAATTAAAATAATCGGGCATCTGTAACTATAAGTTTGAACAAAATTTGTATTACAAAAAATAGATGACTATTTTCAAAATTATATTTGTCTTCTATTTTTTAAAAACAAATATTATTCAAACATATAGTTACCGATATTCAATTATCTTGATTTTTTGTATAGATATTCTTCTCAACGAGTTCTAAAAAGTGAATGATTTGAATCACCGAAATCGGTCTCAAAATAGGCTTATGAAGTCCAAACATTCTCTCAAGCTGAGATGCCAACTCAACATCTCAACTTGAGAGACGCCAAACCCAATTTGAATTTAGTTCTTGTAATTTTAATTTAAATAATTTGAACTCGACATTTTTTATTTTGTTGAATGTGGCCCTTCCATCACATACTGTTAAAATTTTGAACGAAAAAAGATGACATGCAAAATTAAATGAACCAAAGTAGAATTCAAAAAAAAAATTAAAAAAAATTCAGGGACTCCTAGCATAATGAATAGATTGCATTAGTAGCCCCAATAGCTTCTTTTAAATTTTACTCTGGTCCCTTTAGTTTTACACCAAATATTTTTCCATTCAAAATATTAACGGCGCATAACGGAAGAATCACGTTATAACAGAGCTGAAAGTATGAGATTCAAATTATTCAAATTAAAACTATAGGAATTAAAGTAAAACTTCACTTCGATTAATGGGCTAACTGTGTAATTTACCCATGTTTGAATATTTATTTTGAAGACTCAATGTTATGCTTATAATTTGATTTGATCATTTTTATATTTACTATTTGATGTTTGGTATAATAATTCTTATATACATAACATTAATGGCAAATTACATATACCCCTCGAGGTTTAGCAAAATTACAGATACCCTCCTGAAAGTACTATTTGCATAACAAATTAGGGGCAAATTGTTATGAAAATATAAACCTCATGGGGCAATTTGTTATGAAAATATAAATCTCAGGGGGGTATCTGTAATTTCTGAAACCTCAGAGGAGTATTTGTAATTTAGCTAAATTTCGAGGGAGGTATATGTAATTTGCCCTAACATTAATATCTTGTGTGACTACAAGTGAGAAATTATATTAAAATATTAAGGATGTCCACGATGTGATTCGGTGCGGTTTGAGAGTAAAATTATAAGTTAAATCGTAAATGACAAATTGACAAATAACTAAACCACAGTTTAAGCAGTTTCAATTTATTAGTTAATTGAAAAATAATCTTAAACAATTATCAAACATTTGCATAATATATAATACTAATTTGTAATAAATTCTACATCTTAAATCTCTTACACTGATTTTTATTTTGATATTTCATTAAAAGTTTATAATATATATATATATATAACTATAACGAAACATAATATATATATATATATATATATATTAATTATGATGGACCGGAGCTGTTTTGAATATGGATTATAAATTTCAAAAATTAGTGGCAAATCAGTATGTATACGACAATTTTAATAAATTAGATGATATTTTATACAATTCTATTAAATACATAAATAATCAATCTCTAACAAGAATTGGATGAGAGGCTTCTAAATAAAGAAAGGTACGGTGGTGTGGGATGGGCCTCCTCTTTCATTTATAAGGAAATAGGCTATACAAATAGCTTTCATAGTTAGTGAGCACTCCCTCTATTACTCAAAAAGAAAATAATATTACGCTTCATATAGTTATTATAATCCAAACCCACCAAAGTCTTGAGGAAATATTCTCTCCAGATACATTATTAAGGCAATTATTATTTTTTATTAATATATATTTTTAAGGACCTTCTTTTGGGCCCTAAGAAAAGGAAACGTGCTGGTCCCATCCACCATCAATTACACAACATCACAACCCCTATTTAAATTTGTGTTTTGGAATTATTTTTCATGTTAGTTAGCTACATGATTGATGTATTGAGAGCAACTAAATATACATCAAATATTTTTCTCTACACCCAACTTCTATATTGAAACACTTGTACTTTACTCACATTAAAAAAAATAATAAAAAAAAAAACAAACAAACAAACTCTTACACAAGTGTAAAGAAAGATTTTTTGTGTGGTTTTAACAACTCCCTTTTTTGTTTTCTTTTTTTACTTTTTTTGAACAACAAAAAAGGCCCTTTATTGATGTTGAAACCATACAAACATATGAACATCAAAGAAAAGATGAGGAAGTGCAAAGCATCAAAGCATCACCAAACGATCCCAACTAGATTGGCACCGCAAGGAATACCCAAACATTTGCAAGTACACCTCAAGGTTGATGAGAATACAACCAAAGATACAAGACCAGCCCAACAATAGTAGGGCAGCAACAACAAAGCAAATATAAGGAATCTACTACAGGCTAGCCCTGAATACAATGCCTAACACCTGAGATGTTATATAGAAAATCATTAATCGAAAAATAAAGCTCCTTGGAAGTAGCCTTCAACCAGATGGCAAGCTTGGTGATAATGAGCTCTTGCAGCTCCTACAGTTTTGGTGGGGAAGCTTAAAAGAAACATTCATTTCTGTGTTTCCAAATCGAGCAAAGAGTCACCAGAGGTATGGCACACCAAATTCGCCGTTCAGATTTCCTGCAGTAGTAACCTGACCACCATTGCAGCAGACCTTGAACAGAGTCTGGAACTACCCAAGTAATCCCCCACCACTGTAACAATCCAGTCTAGACTCTCCACACCAGAGGGAAAAAGATTAGTACATGTTCAATTGTTTCCTACTGAGCTTTGCAAAAAATGCACAAAGTAGATGCAGACCTATCCAAGACACCAATTCGTTGTAAGAATACAGAAGTTTTAAGCTTGTGCTTCCATGCAAGCCAACCAAAGAATTGCACTTTGGGTGGGAGATACTTGATCCATACCATTCGATTAGATCTATCAGTACCTCCATAGACAATGTTAGTATGGTTGTAAAGATCTGATACAAGAGTCTGCCCCAGTTTAGCTTCTTTCCAAACTGCACTGTCTTGGGCCTTCAAGTTCAATGAAGGGGCTGAAGATAAGATGCCAGTGAGTCTGAGGAGCTCATTCTTTTCCTAATCAAAGAGAAGCCTCCTAAAGGTGAACAACCAGTTCTCAGAAGGTCCAGAGATATCCACAAAGTCCTTAAGTGATCCTTCATTATCTAATGACAATTTGAAAAGCCGAGGGAACTCATCTTTTAGACAAAGAGCTCTACACCAAGTATCATACCAAAATCTGATTAGACAACCATTGCCCACCCTTAACTGTAGGTTACTGGCATAGTATTGTAAAAAGGACTCTTTCTGCTTCATTGCTGCCACAATGCCACTTCATATGTTAGAAGAGTTGATGCTTGGGCTAAGATTTAGGAACCATTTCCCTCTAAGAAATCTGTATTTGCTGCAAATGACCCTCTTCCACAATGAATCATGATTAGAAGCAAACCTCCACCATCACTTTAAAAGTAAGCACACATTCACATCCCTAACTTTTCTGATGCCCAGCCCATCCTGCTTTATACTCTTAGTTACCTCTAACCATTTCACTAAGTGGATTTTCTGCCTTAAATCTGAGCCTCCCTATAAGAATGAGGCTTGAATTTTATCTATCTCATTGGCAATTCCTTCAGGCAGCTTATATAGAGACAAGTAATACACAGGTAAGCTTGACAACATTGCTTTAACCAAGGTTAATCGACCTGCAAAAGAAAGAAGCCTCATTTTCCAACCAATAAGTCTCAATTTAAACTTATCAACAACAGGTTGCCATGTTTTCTTTCTCCTGGGATTAGTATCCAAAGGCAATCCTAGATACTTAATTGGAAGTGTTTGAGTCTTATAGTTCAACAGGGACATAAACTCAACAAGAATAGAGTTAGAGATACCAATCCCACAAACCACACTTTTATGATAGTTGATTTTAAGACTTGATGCCACTTCAAAACACATGAGGATTCTTTTCAAATTAAGGACTTCTGACAGCTCAGCTTCACAAAACAATAGAGAATCATCTGCAAATTGTAAATGAGAGAGTTGCACATGATTGGTCCCAATAGATACCCTTGATATTGTGATCGTTGATTCACCTCCTAGTATATTTATGTAATAAATAACACAAGTATATAAAAATCACAATATCTAAAATATAGTTAGCTATACCATAACATAGGCGGGGCCGATTATGAGAATGTGCAAGCAAAACATCCACTTAGGGCCCTAAGTAAGGCCTTACCTAGGTTTATGCCTTATTACTTGACCCAAAAATATAATTGTTCTTGTTAAGCCTAAATGAAGACCCCTAATTCAAGTGTAAAATCCGAAGACTCATTTTGAGAATTCGCCTATGTGTATGACAAATTTTTTTGCAGCCACCACACAATTACTACCTTAATTCCCTAACCCTATAATAGACCCTTTCTTATATCTCTCTTTGAAGCTCTTTCTCATTTTATTTCCGCACTCTTTTCCCCTTTGCTCCTCATCCCCTATCGAAATCACTTTCTCAAAATCTTCTTCCCTCTTTGCACATCTCTTCCAATTGAAACTCCTCCTCTACACTATAGATATGTATATATAGTTTTTATAAATATAATGCCTTTTTTTTTCTTTTCTTTTTTTGTGGAATTATGACTTTGATTTGGTTGATTGATTGGAATGAGAGTTGAATCTAGATACATTCATACATGAAATGATGCAAATAAATAAATAAATAAATGAAATTGAGGTATTTTGAGTTATAAAGTCAATCAACGTAACCCATTAGCTTGAAATCACGAAAAATTACTCTATAACTATAAGAGGACCCATCTAGGAAGTTTTCCTAGGGTCCTAAAAAAGCTCAAGCAGGCCTAGCAAATGGGAAGCCATATGGATGATTTTGAAGAACAATTGAAAAAGATTTTTTCCTTATTGATTATCAATGATACAAAGTATATTTATACAAGAGATAGCATATCTAACTAACTAACAAATCATAACCAATTCTAACTAATCACATACGATTGAGTAGTTAGGAGTTATAACTATCACAGTTGCTAGATTACTAGCTAAGCTTGAAGTTGAGCCTTGAGCTGCTGCTATGGAAGTTGTGCAGTTGTATCTGCAATGGAAGTTGTATGAGCTGTAGCTATAATATCCTCATCAGCCCCCGTCAAGCTGATGGAAGAGGAGTGGACCATTAGCTTGGACTGAAGAAAATGAAAACGAGAAGCTGACAGAGGCTTAGTGAATATATTCGCAATCTGATCAACATATGGAATATATTTTAGAACAAGTGGCAATCTTCTCATGGATAAAGTGACAATCCACCTCAATGTGTTTGGATCGTGTATGAAACACCAGATTAGAGGCAAGAGCAATTGCTAATAATTTGTCACACCAAAGAATAGGTGGAGTAGAAAAAGAAATAGAAAGATCATGAAGAAACATTTGTAACCAGCTCAATTCGATTATAACATAGGCAAGAGATCTGTATTCAGTCTCAGTACTTGATCGTGAAACAGTGGCCTGTTTCTTTGCAAACCAAGAAATGATATTGGAGCCAAGATAAACACAATAACCCGAAGTAGACTTGCGGTCTATGAAGTCACCTGCCCAATTTGAATCAAAGAAGGCTTGCAACACAAAAGAACTTGGACGAAAAGTCAAGCCATGAGAGAGAGAGCCTTTAACAAACTGAAGAAATCTCTTGACCAGAGCAAAGTGACCATTTGTAGGTGCATTCATATATTAATAGGCCTGATTGACAGCTAAGGAAAGATCTGGATGAGTGATAGTAAGATATTGTAGAGCTCCAACTATGCTTCTATACAACTGAGGGTGAGCAAAAAGAAGGGAACCATCAGAATGGAGAGGAGGGTTTATGGAACTAGGTATAGGGCAGGACTTGCAAGAATTCTTACCTGTATGATTGACAAGAATATCAGAAGCATACTTCTACTGAGACAAAAAAATAAGAATCTCCCAGAGATTGAATGGAAATGTCCAAAAAATAATAAATATCATGTAACTCTTTCATAGTAAAGGCGGAAGATGAGATGGGTTGCTCCTAGTAAGAAGTATGTCATCCATATACACAAGGAGAATAGTAATAAAAGTAGAAGTTTTATGGATAAATAAAGAATTATCACAGTGGCTATTGACAAGACCTTGCGACACCAAAAATCTTGAAAATGTAGACTACCAAGCTCTGGGAGCTTGTTTTAACCCATAGAGAGCCTTTTTTAATCGGCAAACGTGATGTGGAGAAGAAGAAATGACAAAACTTGGTGGTTAATTCATATAAACCTCTTCATCCAAGGTACTATGTAAGAAGGCATTGCCAATGTCAGGTTACTTTAATGGCCAATGATAATGTAAACAACACAGAGCAAAATGCGTATAGTAGGATGTTTAACTACTGGACTAAAGGTTTCAGTATAATCAATGCTTTCTTGTTGTAAGAATCCTTTAGCCACCAACCTTGCCTTGTATCTAGCAATGTAACCATCACTATTTCTTTTAATTCGGAAAACCATTTACAACCAATAGCCTTCGTAGAAGATGGAAGAGGAACAATGGACTAAGTGCCTTGAGCAAGCAAGGCATTGTATTCTTCAAACATAGCAGTATGCCAATGTGGAGAAGCAAGTGCTTGTTGATAAGTAAAAGGCTCAACATTAACAAAGAATGAGGATGTGTTGGCCACAAGACCATGAACTTTTGAATGAGTAATCATTGGATGGATGTTGGAGGAGGAAGAAAGATGTGGTAAATCTATAAAAATTGACTGAACAAGAATAGAAGATGGTTCTAAAGGCAGACTAGGTAGACTAGACAAAGGATAAGAGACCTAAATATCAATAGGAGTAGAGTTCTGAGCCATAACAGGTGTATGAGACAATGCTGCAATGGGAACAGTCCAGTGCTAAGCAGTAGCAGGTGAAGAAGACTGTGCGGCAGGGGTCTGGGGTAGAGAAACAAAGGACAAAGGAGTTGCAGGCATAGTAGTCAAGAAAGAAATAGAAGAAGAAGAACAAACAGGCTAGAAAAAAGAATGGAGATTAGACAAAGAAGAGTTTGCAGATTTAGTTGATAAAGGAGAAAAAATGAAAGATATCCTCATAGAAGCTCACACGTCGAGAAATATGAATTTTACCTATAGTCATGTCTAAACATCTGCAACCTTTATAGGATGAATGATAACCAAGAAAGACACAGAAAACAGACCTAGGCTGAAGCTTACTCGTGGTGTAGAGCTTTAACCAAGGAAACAATTGGCATCCAAAAACTCTTAGAAAAGAATAATCAGGTAAGGTATGAAAAAAGGTGCTCATAGGGTGATTTATGAGAAAGGTTTGCATTGGGCATTCTATTAATAAGATAAGTAACAGTAAAAACTGCATCAAACTAGAACTTAGTTGGAACAGAAGAGTGATGAAGCAAAGCAATGGTGGTGTCAATAATATGTCCATGTTTTCTTTTAGAGACACGATTTTGAGGAGGAGTGTATGAACAAGATAATTGATGAACAATGCGTTAGGCTTTTAAAAATTGAGTCATAGAAGTATTAACAAATTCAGTACCGCCATCGGTCATGAGCACTTGCAATTGAGTATAAAATTGAGTCTCAACATAAGCTTTAAACTCTAAAAATTTTGAGAAAACTTCACTTTTATAGCATAGAGAATAAAGCCAAGCGAATTTGCTAAAATCATCAATGAACAACACATAAAACTTGTAATCAGAATAAGAATGAATAAATGAAATGGTCCCCATACATCACTATGAATAAGAGATAAGGGTTTATTTACAGTAGAATTTGAAAGTTTGAAAGAAAGTCTATGACTTTTAGCTACACTACAATGTATACAAGGATAGACAAAAGATTCTGACTTATTGATAGCAACAGATAAGTGCTTCTCTAAAGTAGTAAATTTCATTTGAGATGGATGTCCCAATCTCTTATGCCAAGTATTCTCAGATACAGAATTAGTAGTAGAGGAAAGTAAAGCATGAGATGATGATAAAGGAAAAGCATGCACTGTAGTAGTGGAGGAGGATTGCAAATGTGGAAAGTGATATAAGCCATGAGCATTACAACCCTTGTACAGAATGGCCTTCGAGTGCTTGTCCTGAATCACAAAGGAAGACTCATCAAAAGTAATAGTGCAATTGTTGTCCTTTGTGAGTTGATGCACAGAAAGAAGATTGGAGGATATAGGAGCATGTAAAAGTTTGTTAAGCTTAAAACAAAAATGAGGAGTAAGTAAGATTTCCTTACCTGTATGATAAATAGGAAGAGAATTACCATTGCTAACTGTGATCTGATCAGGGCCTTGATATGAATGATACATATTGAGATTAGAAAGATCATGAATAATATGATCAGAGGCAGCAAAATCAAGGTACCAGTAAGAAGATTCAAATGGGACAGATAAAGTAGTAGAAGCAACATAAGCCCATAGTGAAGGATATCTAGAAGAAGAGGATGCTTGAGCAAACGAGGAAGAAAAATTTGATAAAGAAGGTTAATGAAAGTTCACATCCATTCTATGTCAACAGTCCAATGTTGTGTGATTCCATTTGCCACAAATTTGACAAATTAGATTTGATGAGTAATGACAACCTCTGCCACGAGAAACTGGTCTACCACCACCACAAAAATCGTCTCTAAAACCTCCTTTATGACCTCTAAAGGATGATCATCCTCTAGGAACAGTATTAGAGGATCCTCTCTGACAACATAAGCAACTGAAGATTCATGAGATTGTAACTTTCTCTGTTTGGATTCAATATGAATCAATTCAGAACACAAAAAGAGAGGTTAATTCTGCCATAGAAATAGGCTCAACACGTGCTCTAACAGTGGTTTTAAGAGCATCAAACTCATCTGGTAATCCATTTAAAGTAAGGAACACCAGATCTTTTTCATCAATTGGTGATGAAGCTAGAGTTAATTGATCAGAAAGTTCCTTAATCTGATTCAAATACTCATTGATTTATAGGGAATCTTTTGTCAAATGAGTCAATCGATTTTTCATTTGATGAATGTGAGATCTAGATAACACTATGAATCATTTGCAGAGAGCATTCTATACCTCAAAGCTATGTTACAAATGAAGAACAGAGAAAAAAAAATTGCAGGTGTAAGACCTCGTTTGGCAACCTTCAATTTTAGCCAAAAAGTCACTATAAGTTGTCACTATAAGTTGTCACATCACTTTTTCTATGTTTCTGCATATTTTTTCGTAAAAATCCAAAAAGTTACTAAAATAGCATATTCTTAAACGAGGCCTAAATGTGGTTGCTGTGGTTGTTATATAGCTTAGCAAGTGAGCATCGATTTTGTTCCAATGTGCTCAATCTGGATTCTAAACTTCAACACCACTTGAATCTTTAATCAGCAGTGGTGGACAGAGAATTCATCCATTTGCAAACTCTAGCAACTCAGTTGCACGCAATATATTCTGAAATTGACTCCTCCACATAAGAAAATTTGTAGAATCAAGTTTGACTATAATTAAGGTTAGAAATCAATAGATTGAGATTAGGAGGTAAAGAAGAAGACAAAGATGAATCAGAAGAAGCCATGGATGAGAGGTGTCACGACCCAAACCCGCCCCTATAGGTTTAGCATCGTAACCGGCCAGTAATCCTTGGATTACCGAAGGCCTCTTAACTGATTAACAAAATTAAGGGGCTAGCGGAAGCTAATATATAAATATAGTTGTCTAATGAGCTGTGCTGATTTATATGAAACGAAATATTTAAAAACTTTATATACATAACTGGTAGTCAACCATACATTATACCCACACACATTACAGTATTTTAAGTCCAGCCAACAGAATTAAATCAAGTCATACATATACACAGAACTAACAGAACTTGAACACAGGACACTTCGGGAACCTCCACGTGAGGCACAATGGTTGGCTGACAACAGAACACAGGTCCAGACAAAAGCCTTCAGGCTCGGGCTCCAGAATGCTCACCTATACATATATATACACACAATGAGCTAAAGCCCAATGAATAACATTAAAGTAAAGGGGTTAGTGAACGAAATCCGAATATATCATCAGCAGAAAACAGACCAGAGCATAATCATTCTCATATCAAAACATAATAATGGTACATCCCATAGAACACATCACAAAACGTTTTCCGACTAGAGTAATCGGTTCCAGATACCGATTAAACCCATATCACCACATGAAGTGGCTAACGAGATCTCGTAAATACTTGTATGTCATGGACCCGCATTTTCATGTCGTCCCCCATGACTTGGCACTATCTACGGATGCCATAATAGATTTCAAACATGGAATATTCGTTCACAAAAACAGATACCATTTCAAAAATCAGAACTTATCATATTTCATTTGGAACGTAATTCATATGAACGTATCTTTACAATAACGTTACTCATAGTGGTTCCAATAATGGTTAATCAATCCTCGAGCCTTGACCTACAATCACAAAATACATAACACAAGCATGTCTTATCATTACACATTCAAGTTGTCATTAAGGATTAGCTTTCATTACATTGGTTCTTATTCTTACTTATCACATTGCCTAAAACACACACACTTGCAGTCTCGGAATTTAGTACATTCTTTTCTTAGTGTGTTTCTATCCATAACCTCAATACCATGGCTTAATTAAGGCTTAGGAATGCCTAAGATGCAATGAGGATGCCAAAACATGCCTTGGAACACTTAGGCAAAATTTGTGAAAAT